GCTTCTGCTTCCCGGAGCGCAGGACGCCCACCCAGGAGAGCGCAGGCGCGCCGGGGACCCCTGGGCCGTGCGGGCTCCGCGTTGGGACCGCGGCCCTGCAGCCCTGCGCGCGTGCCCCGGGCGGCGACCTCTGCCTCGTGTGCGCGCCCGCCCAGGAGGGGGGCCCGGGCGCGTGAACGGGGGGGACGGGGAGGGGGGCGCGGCCTGAGGAGGAGGCCGGGCCCTGGCCATGTCCAATGCCAACCGTGGGTAGGTGGCCGTCACCCGAACACGCATGCAATAAAGGCCTCTGTGCCCGCTGTCACAGCCCCCAGGAAGCCCGCCTCCTGTGCAATCAAACCTTCCCGTCTGAGCAGCCGAGGCCGGCCGCCCGTCCCTTCCCGGGCGCGGGCCCTGCTCCAGCCTCCGGCCGCTCTCCCACCCCCGGGGGAGCCCGGGAGAGCGAAGAACCGTCTGCGGACAGCGTGCGGCCCACGCCAGCAGAGTGAGGGGCTGAGCTGGCTTCGTTTCTCTTCCGAACACATATTCCCTTCGCTGCTCCCTTCGTGAGGGCATGAAGCACCGTGTGCGCGTGTGCATGTGAGCTCGTGTGCATGTGTGCGCGTGTGCACGTGTGTGCTCGTGTGCATGTGTGCATGCGTGTGCATGTGAGCACGTGTGGGCGCGCATGTGTGCATGTGAGTGCATGTGTGCATGTGCGTGCGCGTGTGCATGTGAGCACGTGTGGGCGCGCATGTGTGCATGTGAGCGCGTGTGCATGTGTGCGCGTGTGCGTGTGTTCATGTGTGCGCATGTGTGCACGTGTGTGTGCATCTGTGCGCGCGTGTGTAGCGGGGGCGTGGAGGGGACAGGACGGGAGGGCAGCAGATCTCGCTGATGGAATGATGGATGTTCCCCGGACCACAGCAAGAGAGTGTTTTCATGGGCATCCATTTTTTATTAGCATTTGAACGTATATTTTTAGTTGCAGTTGCGTTTAAACCTCAAGTGGCATAACCATTCTTAGAAGTATTTACACAGTGAGATACATACGTGATCATGTAAGTTGAAATTATTCATCCTGCACCACCCAAAATTATCCTACATACCTGCACACAGCTGGGAGGTGTAGACAGCAACCCCTTGCCCCTCTGTGGCTCCACGTTTTCACCAGCCATGGGCAACAGGCTGTACTCATCTGCTGGGGCTGCCCTAACCACGCACCACAGACCAGGTGCTACAGCTGGGTAAGTTACTGTCTCCCAGTTCTGCACGCTGGATGTCCGAGTTCAAGGTGGCAGCAGGGTGGTTCCAAAGGCTGTGAGGGAAGGACTGTTCCAGGCCTCTCCTTGGCTTGCAGGTGGCCGTCTTACCCCCGTCTCTTCACCTCTTTCATCTGTGTGTGTCTCTGTGTCCCAATAGCCCTTTTTATATTGGATTAGAGCCCACCCTAAAGACTTCATTTTAGCTTATCTTTGTAAAGACCCCATCTCCAAATAAGGTTACATTCTAAAGCGCTGGAGGTTAAGCCTTCAATATATGGATTTCTGGGGACAAACTTAACCCATAACACATGCACTCCCCGAGGCCACTTCTGCTTTATCTTTGTCTCCAGTCAAGATGGCATCTAAAAAGTACCCATCCAAGACATGCATCTGACCCACTGTACAGCAGCCCATGCAGCCAATGACTGTCTCCATTCCAGCATGCCTGGTATAAGCAGCTTCCATTCCCACAACAGGATCGACGCTAAAACCCTGTACCTGGTGCAGATCCTTGCTGGATGTTGGCAAATTAACAGCACATTAGATTCCTGCAAAGATGCAGCTTGGGATGTTAAGGCTTCTCTGAAAGATATGCAGAGTTCTATTCTTTCAGTTCTATAGTTTTCAAATTCTGCTCATCTGAACCTGAGGGGCTCTATAAGATGCTTCTGTAGCTGCTGGGGGAGTTGGGGGTACTAAGCGTCCAACCCCAACTTCATTCAGATAAAAACAATCTTGTGGGTTTTTGGGGTCAGTTTTTCAATTGCTCTTTTGTCTGAAAAAAATTTTTTTAAAGAAAGGGATCCTTTGCTAGAAAGGAAATCTGAAACTCTATAAATACTGTCAATTTTATCCATGTTCTGTTGGTTCTACCTTCAAAATACATCCTAATTCCAACCACTTGTCATGACCTCTTTAATCTGAATTCCCATCATTTCTCACCTAGATTACTGTGCCAGCCTCCCCCTGGCCTCGCCACTGCCACCTTGTCCCCCACCCAGGGCTCAGAAAGCATTTGCTGTAAAGATCCAGATAGTAAATGTCATAGGCTTTGTGGACCACACAGTCTCCACTGCAACTACTCAAAAATTATGCAAATATGCCATTGCGGCACAAAGCATCCATAGACAGTAAGTAAGCATACGGGGTGACTGTTCGAAGAGGTAACGATGAATAATGTTTTGTAAAAATGAAAAACATCAAGCTACAAAAATCTCAGAGAACCCCAAGCAGCGTAAAGAACAAAATAAACCAAAAAAACTTGTGGACACATCATATTCAAACTGCTGAAAAAGTACAATACAGAAAACAATTGTAAAGCACACATCACAGAGGAGCAAAGATGGGAATTACAGCAGATGTCGTGTCTGAAGCCACACGAGTCAGAAGATAATGGAGTGACATCCTTAAAATGCTGGAAAGAAAAAAACTGGCAACTCTGAATTTTATACCCAGAAAAAATGTCTTTCAAAAATGAAAGAGAAATAAAGACTTTCAAACAAATGAAAACAGAATTCATTACCAGCAGACCAGCACTATGAGAAATGTGAAAGTCCTTCAGCGGAAAGAATGTAACACCAGAGACTCAGACAAACACTAAGAAATGAAGATCTCCAGAAATGAAAAGATGACCGGTAAGGGGATCTTAGCCCTTGACTTGGTGGTGTCAGCACCATGCTCACCAGTGAGCAAACCGGCCATCCCTATATAGGATCCGAACCCGTGGCCTCGGTGCTATCAGCGCCGCACTCTCCTGAGTGAGCCACGGGGCCGGTCCCATTACACATTTTTTAAAGAGGCATAAATATCAGCGTTGCCATGAAGTCGGGCAAGGGTTGGCAAACTATGGCCCACAGCCCAGATCCAGCCCACTATCTGTTTTAGTAAATAAAGTTTTATTGGAGCTCAGTCACCCCATAGGCTTACTTATTGTCTACGGATGCTTTTGTGCCTCAATGGTACAGTTGTGTAACTGTTGAGCAGTTGCAGTGGAGACTGTGTGGTCCACAAAGCCTATGACATTTACTATCTGGATCTTTACAGCAAATGCTTGCTGAGCCCTGGGTGCGGGACAAGGTGTCTACTCTTTTGTTTTGCTTTGACTTTTTTTTTTTTTCTTTGTGTTTTAATTTGGGTAATTTCTATTGACCCAGACTAAAGCACAAAGAAAAGAAAGAGTCAAGACAATGTGTCAAGTGTCCTGATAGGCCCGTCAAAGACATTCTTCATCTTTCTTACCATGTTTTTTATTTATTTTTTCCTTCTAGCATTTCCATTAGAGTCTTCCTTACAGTTTCCATCTCTCTGCTGACACTCCCTTTCTATTCATGCATGCGGCCCACCCGCGCCTTGTTCTGTTGTCTGTCGACAATGGGTTGTATTACTTGCTCTTTTGTGTGTCTTGTCATTTTGGCTTGAATGCCAAACATGTGTAGAACACTAGAGACTCACGTAAGAAGTGTTTATGTCTGGACCTGGGGATGCCTCTCCTTCAGCTAGTCCATTAGTGTGAATTGATGTAGTCATGAGTTGAGCTGGGCGTGGGTTTTGTTGCTTTTGTGTTTAGCTTCAGTGCACCACTGGCTTCAAATCCCCCAGTGCTGACATGTTCCTGGGTGGGGGCTGGGCTCACAACATTCCTGAACCGCACTCAGCTTTACACCTTCCCCGTGCTCCTCTGCCACATTTTTGGTCCCCATCAGTGGTGGCAGCAGCAAGGCCGGGGGAGGCTATGGGAACTCAGATTAAAGAGGTCATGACAAGTGGTTGGAATTAGGATATATTTTGAAGGTAGAACCAACAGAACATTGTGAAAATTGACAGTATTTATAAACTACTGTTACTTGTTACTTGGTGCTTGCTAAGCTGGTGGAGGGGGCAGGGGGACGGTCTGTTGTCCTGTTTCAGTCTCGGTCTGAAGCCAGCCCTGTGTTTCTGGGCAAAGAGAATGAGGCTTTTTTGTTGATCCTTCCTTCCCCCAGGAGGACGAGCCCTCTAGTGGACTGGGCCAATTTTCTGCCCCCCAATTGCAGTGGAGAGTATTTTCTTTTCCTTCCCACCAACCTCAGTGGGTCTTTACCTGTACCCTGAGGTTAACAGGGTTTGCTGCCCTTTTGCCCAAGTCTATGGCTTTTGCCTGTTAGGGAAGAGCGTGGATGAATTTCCTGCAGCAGCGCTGCTCCACTCCCGCTGCTTGCACCACTGAGGCTCTCTCTGGTCTCACACTCTGTGCCCAGCATGTGTGTGCACACGTGCGCGTGCACAAGCCCAGTGGAGGTCTGTGGAGAAGAACCTGCCAGCGGTGTTAGCTGCCCTTGTCTGCAGCTCCCAGGAGCTGCACACACTCACGCTAGCTCACACTGAGCACTAGCAGCCCGCCTCTCACCCACCTGCCTGGCAGGGCCATCTCCTTCCCTGTGCCCAGTCTTCACACTTCCTCTCTCCTTGGAGGCACCTGCCTTCTGTAGACTTCAGGCTAGTTGGTTGTCTTGTGACTTGAGCTTTCTGATGGGTTCAGGAAAAGCCATGATTTTGTAGATTATCCGGCCTTTCACAGACAGGGTAGAGGGGTGGTGCCCTTTCTGGTTTTCTACTTCGTAGGTGGCAGCTGGAAGCCAGAGAGGTGTTGGAAACATCCATCAGATCACATCTCTTCTTTGCTTAAAGCCCATCTCAACACAATTGGAATACAATCTCTGCTCCATGCAGGGTCTTCACGCCCCACACGGTCTGGCCCTGGCTTCCTCTCAACTCTCACTCTGTCACCCTTCACGGCCCCACTGTCCCCTAGCCACGTGCAGCCCCTTCCCAGAGGAGCCGCCCGCTTCCCAGTCCTGCCCTGGGGCCTTCCTGCTGCTGGCTCTGCTAGGAACGCTCTTCTCTCTGCCTTCACTCAGGTCGGACCTTGTCCCACAGGTCTCAGTTCCAATGTC